ATGTTGGCTATCGCTAGGAATACCTTCCTGTTGCAGTGAATTGCGGCGGAGCAGATATCAGATGTTAGCCCATCTGGTCCAGGAGCTTTTTTTGGGTTGAGTGTTTGTAACACTGAATCAAGCTCCGCTTCTGTAAAAGGAGGATCATCTTCTGACAAACCTAGGTCTTTGTTGATGTCCGTCAGCTCTCGTACTTTGGTGTGGTACGGCTGATCGGTTACCACACAGTCGTCAGGGTAAAATGTTTGGGCCAAGAGTTCTGCTGACTTTTCAGATGTCAGGGTTTCACCCTGGTTGTTTCTTAGGAGCATGTCCTCATATCTTCTTGAGGATTTTCGGATAACTCTGTAAATTTTATCCCACATGCTCTCCTTGTCCTGTGTCGTGCAGAATTCTTTCCAGCTTTCGGTTTGCGCCTCCTCAACTTTTATGGTGTACTGTTTTTTACAGTTTATATAGTCATCTATAACGTGTTGTATTCGACTTGGTGCCGCATTTCTTATGCGTCTTTTTTTCCTTTGGACTTCTCTTTTGAGTTGGTTGAGGGTTTTTGACCACCATGGAGGCGTTGCATTTACCCCCCTCATGCCTACTTTCGGAATAGTCTCGTCGCAAGATTCCTGGATTACTTTTGTGTAGGCTATTGTGATGGATTCTAGTTCCTCATGGGTTTCCACGCCCTCGATTAATGTGGGAGTTATGGCTCTTTCTTCTAGTAGTGATCTGAAGTGTGATGAGAAGTCTGACCATTTTGCCTTCCTGGTGTTGTATTTGCGCGTTGTACAGGGCCGTAGTGGTTTTAAGGCCGTTTTAGTGCGCAATGTAAATGTTATGGCATTATGGTCTGATGTAATTAGACTTCTCTCCACTCTCCAGTCCTCCACATTGCCGAGAAGTGACGGACTGCAAGCAGTTACGTCTACTATGCTCGAGCAGATTCTCCCCCTTCTGTAAGTTTCGAAGGTAGGTATGTCACCGGTGTTGAGGATATGGAGATCCATTTCATTGAGGAAGGTGTTATATGCCGCGCCTCTTTCGTCTTCTGTGTTGCTTCCCCACCATTGACTCCAAGCATTTACGTCTCCAGCCACTATGATGTTGTTTGTGTGAAGTTTTGCACATGCTGCTTGGATTCGTCTAAGGTAGGGATTGATATCTTGCTCCCCTTCGAGGTAGACTGACACGACTCCTAATTTTAGGTTTCCTGCGACCAGAACCACCGCCGCTTCTGTTTCAGTAACCAGCTGTGGATCATGAATGATCTCCAGCTGATTCCCGAAGACAAGGATTGCGGCCTTCACTGGTTTTTGTCTATTCAGGCTGCATTGAATAACTCGCGTGCCAGGATGTTCTTTAATGACGCCATTTTTTCCCACATAGGGTTCCTGTACAATGGCGATCGACACTCCTTTATCCGTTGCAACCTGAAGTAGTTCCGCCGTTGCTACCCTGGAGCGTTGCAAGTTCACCTGAATGATTTTAATGTGTGTATCTGACCTACTAATGTTTGAGACGGTGTTGTTTTGGCTGCCCTTAGCAATATGTTATGCGAGATCGTGCTATGGCATCCCACTTCTGCTTTTCCCGGCAATCAAAGCTAAAAGCATTGTGTGCCAGGTCCGTGTCGCCACCGTGCGCTTTTAGGCAATTTTTACATCTTGGGGGTCTCCCCTCCAGTCTGGTTGGGCATTTGTCCCATGAGTGAGTTTCTCCGCAGTGACTGCAGAGTTCCTCCTTTTCATGGCACACTGCCTTTGTGTGGCCAAAACCAAGACATTTAGTGCATTGCACTAGGGGAGAGTGGTCCATTATTGGTCTCCTTTGGAGGCCAATGTAAATTTTGCCCGCATCAATGAAGCGCCTGTGAACTTGTGGAGAGAGCTCGAGTACAGGATGGCACTCATGTGGATTCCTCGCCTTTTTCCTGTATCGAACTCTGATTGTTCGCTCTTTTTCATCGACGTCATGCAGAAGGTGTTTATTCTGCGCCAGTATATTTTCGACGATTTCGACGTCGCTGTGAGGTTAGGTTAGGTTAGGTTAGGTTAGGTTAGGTTAGGTTAGGTTAGGTTAGGTTAGGTTAGGTTAGGTTAGGTTAGGTTAGGTTAGGTTAGGTTAGGTTAGGTTAGGTTAGGTTAGGTTTTTTTTTTTTTTTTTTTTTTTTTTTTTATTTACTTTGGTCCTGCTGTTTTTTATTTTACAGCACCCTTTATTTCTTATTAAGTTATATCTTTTTTCTTTGATGCAGATTTTTTTTTTTTTTTTTTTTTTTTTGTGTGTATTCCGTTATATTACAATTACATTGTGGTATTACATTTACATTTATATATTTTAATGCCCTCGTATATATAGTATTGTATATAAAGTATATCTCTACTTATTGTTACATGACTACTTATATCTTTAATGATGACAGTACTGCTTCTACATTATTTACTGTGACTACTTCTTAAGTGTATTCATTCTAATATTTATTATGTCTTAATTTACCCTAGGTTAAATGTTACTTATCTACTGTGACTATCTTCCTAAGAGTACTTTTCTAATATTTATTATACATATCTTATTTTCATTTAACAATGTTTTAAGAAATTGCTACATGACTACTTTAAATGACTATAATGATAACAGCTATAATGATGACAATATTACTTCTACACTTTTTACCTAAGGTTAACTGTTCCTTATCTACCGTAACTAACTTCTTAAACGTACTCATTCTAACATTTATTATGTCTTATTTTCTTTAACAATTTTTTCTACACTACTTATTGCGAATTTAAGAAAGTGAGTTCGGCTGTCATTGTTGTTAATAGCTCTGTTTAGAGTTTCTTCTTGTAGCACAAAGCCCATACGCAGTTCACATTCCAGTCTTGCTAATTGAAATTTAGGACAGTCTATAAGAATATGTTCGATTGTTTGTGAAGTTTGGTTATCACAACTGCAGTAGGGGCTTTCCGCCAATTTGAATCTAAATAGGTAGGCTTTAAAACCTCCATGACCTGTCAATATTTGTGATATTAAGTTATTAACATTAATTTTTTCAATTGTTTTATATGATTCTGTTACATCTGGAAAAAAATCTTCTTGTCACAGCTCCTGTTTCAGCCTTCGTATATCGTTCTTGCCATGTATTTATAGTGTTGTCCCTGAGTTGGCGCTTTGCGTAGGACAGCGGGAAGCAATCATAAACTGGTGCTTGTTTGGACGTTTCTGCTGCTAACTTAGCCAATTCATCTGCTCTTTCATTTCCCAAGATGCCACAATGTGCCTTAATCCAATACAGTTTTACATCGCCCCGGTTGTTTCGAATTTCATTAATTTTGGTCAAAATTTTTTGCTGCTATGGGATGGACAGTGCTTGGATTAGAAAGGCATTCTAGAGCCGATCGAGAGTCGCTTAATATGTTTGCTTTATTAAATTCATTTTTGCTTTTTACAAAAGTTAGTGCTTTGAGGATGGCAGCAAGTTCTGCCTGATAAACACTGCAGTAATTGCTTAATTTTAACTTTGTTTTATAGACCTCTTTTCCTTCCTTCCAGCAGCTTACTGCAGCTCCAACCATTCCCGAAATCTTGCTACCGTCTGTATATATTGTAGGCCAGTTGTTTTGTATCATGTTAATATCTTCTTGGGTGCATATTAGGTCATATGATTCTCGGACGCGTTCTGCAGGGTGTGGAAGTGTAAATGGACTTATGGGTTTTGCTAACATTCTGCCAGGTAGATGGATTAGCGGTTTACCTCTTTTTATAAGGTATAGCTCTTTTTGTTCTTGTGCTCTTAAATCTAGAGGTATAATTCTTGCTAATGCTGTGCTGGAGATCAATGAGGATGTACGATGTGCTTTGCAGATCATGATGCTAAACATTCTAGTTATTCTGTCAAGTTTTTTTTTGCGTATCTGAACTTTATTTGCAACTGAACCCCAGCAAGCGGCTGCATATAAGATTGTTGGCTCTACAACAGCGAGGTAAATTGTTCTCAAAATTTCTGAGTTTAATCCCCATTGAGCTCTCGCTGTTCTGGAGACTTTTTTATAAAGTGCTATAGCTCTTTTCGTTGTGTCATCTACATGTTTGACAAAGTTCAGTTTCCTATCCACAATTAATCCGAGGATTTTTAGGTCTTCACTAAAATTGATTTTGGTGTTATTTAGCTTCAAATTCGGTAACTCATACTTGATCTTCTTAGTAATAAGGATGGCTTGTGTTTTGTGTGCAGCGAAATTCATCTTTCTTGATTTCCCCCAATTTGAGATGTGTTCTAGGCCCAAGTTAATTTTCTCCTCTATTTGTTTTGCATCTTTGCCTGAACCTATCACTATAATGTCGTCGGCGTACGCCTGCACATGCACATTCCATTTTTCGGTTTCTTGTAGTAAGGAATCCAAAAGAACATTCCACATTAGAGGTCCACAAATAGAGCCCTGTATACAGCCTTTATTTGTGTTTTTGGTGACCTCTGCGTTGGCATATCTAAGTGTTATTGATCTTTCCGAGAGGTAGCTCATGATCAGTCTCAAGACCGCTGGATCCGCGTCTCTCTTTTGTAATTCTGTGATCACAGCAGGCCACCACGCATTATCAAAAGCCCCTTCAATATCTAATGAAACAATAACTGCTATTTCTTTGTTTCTCAGGCTCTCCTTCACTATCTCTAGGGCGTCATATAATGCATCCTCGGTTCCTCTCTGAGGGAGGAAGCCGTATTGCCGACCGCTTAATTTATTCTCATGTCCGAGCTGCCATGTAAGTCTGGTGACAAATAACTTCTCTAGTACCTTTCCCAGTATAGGTAGTAGGCCTATTGGGCGGTACGCTTTCGCGATTGTATAATCCTCTTTATTTGGCTTGGGAATAACTCATATGACTGCGTTCTTCCATTCTTGTGGAAAATGTCCTAGAGATAAACATTTATTAAATATTTTCAGTAAGGTTTCTGGTTCTGCTAAGTAGGACTTATAACAAATATCAGAAGTAAGTCCGTCTCCTCCAGGTCATTTTTTGGGACTCATGTTGTTAAAAACAGTTTCGACCTCTGTTGCAGTAAACGGTACAGCGTGGATATGTATTTTACTGTCATTAAGATTTTCTCGTATTTTTGTAGCTTTTTCCCTTATTTTTATGTGATCTACATCGTCAGTTGAATTGTCGTCTGTTGGGTAGAAAGTGTTTGCTAAGAGTCTGGCGGATTGCTCTGGAGATAAAGTGTTAGTTTCAGCAGAAGATTTTAGTAATGTGTCTTCTTTTGTTGTAGTGTTTTTGCGAATGATTCTATATATACTCTGCCATATGTTTTCCTTATCTTGCCTGGTACAGAACTGTTTCCAACTTGTGGTCATTGCTGCCATTATAAGATTTTTGTAATCGGCTTTAGCTTGTATATAATCTTCTATTACAAAAGGTTTTCGTCTTTCGTTGGCATATTTTATTTTCCTCCTTTTCTTTATTACTTCCCTCTTTTTCTCTTGCAGTTCTTTATTCCACCATTGTGTCTTTTTTGGTATTTTCCTCGATAGTACGGGTATAGTGTCTTCGCAAGAACTAAGAATACTTGTGATATAACTTTGGATGCATTTTTCTAGTAATTGTGGGGTATCGATGGAATCAATGAAGTCATGCGTGACCTTGGAATTGTTTAGTTCTTCTCTAAGTCGTTTTGTGAATGTTTCCCAGTCTGCTTTACTTGTATTATAAATACGTGTTGAAATTCTCTGATGTGTCGTTTTATTTGAATTTTTTATATTTAAGTTGAAGGTGATCGCTCTGTGATCTGAGAGTGTAATCAAGTTGGGATCCACTTTCCAATCAGTTATTCTGTTCAGAAGAGCTGTCGTGCATGTAGTGATATCAATAATGCTGGAGTATTCTCGGGCTCCTCTCCATACGTGAAAGGTTGGTGTTTGTCCTTCATTCAATATTTGTAGGTCTAATTGTGCTAAAGTCTCAGCTATAACTACACCCCGCCTATCCCCCGCATCGCACCCCCACCAGGGACTTTTGGCATTGAAATCTCCTCCAAGAATAACATGCTCGGTGTCGAGATTTTCTATGAATCTTGTTATGTTGCAGAGATCGTCTTCAATATCAGCACCTTCTTCGAGATATACATTAATTACACCTATACTAAATTCATTTATACAAAGTCTACAAGCAACTATATTCTCTGTTATAATTTTTTGGTTAACACAATACTGTATGTTCGGATTAACAACAATGACAGCCGACTTGACTGGTTTTTCTTTGTTACCAGTGTCTTTTTGTATTACTCTATACTTGCAAGTAATATGAGCCTTGGCGCCAACGTAGGGTTCTTGGACCATTAAAATTGATATACCTTGCTGCTCAGCTGCTTGCAGACTTTCTTGTAAAGCAGCTTGCCCTCTACCAAGGTTTATTTGGGCGATCTTAATCATCAATGGTGTGTTGTCTTTGGTCTGTACATTATTGTTTTTAGCAGTATGATGTAAAAGATCTTGCAATTCTGTCCCACCGCTGCCATTCAGGGCATTCAGAGCTATAGGCGGGGTGAGCACATGCCCAATCATTTGCCTTTTTGTTGATACAATTTGTGCACTTTGGAGCTTCGTTTTTATTGCGACACTCTCGTGTATCGTGTGGCTCAGCGCAATATGCACAAATTACTGTATCAGCCTTGCATTCACTAGCTCGATGTGAAAATCCTAGGCAGCGGTAGCACTGAATCAAGGGCGACTGGTCAACTGATGGGACAATCTGAAACCCAAGCCTTATTCTTTGGTCTTTGAGTCTTGACCAGACTTGTGGGCTAACTTCTACGATTATGTTATTTAATGAACCAGTACGGCCTTTGACTCTTCTCACAACTTTTATGTGCGTTTGTGAGGTTGATATATCCTTTAGCAACGAGCCGTTTTGTTTAATTACAGCTTCTTCAATTTTATTATTACTTAGGTCCATTGCTACTCCGATTAGTCTCAACAGAGGATTTTTGGTCGGAAGTTTCTGTACAGTCAGTTTGTTTGTGGTATTTTTCAGTTTCTCATGTAGAATCTTTCTGTCGTCTTCTGTTTCGCAACTTATAAGCACTTTCTGATTTTTTGCTTTCTTTATATTGCTTATTCCTATACCTAAATCTATTATATTAATGTCATTCTTTACCTGTTTTATTATATCATCGCTGGTATTTCTAGGATCAGCTGATTCTACCACAATAGAGAAATTAGGTTTAGCAGTCACTTCTGAGTATAATCTAGATGAGAAGTAAGGCTTTGTAGCTCTTTGCATCGGTATGAAAGCTTTCTCCGATTTTTGCTGTTCTTGTATAATATTTTGATCCTTCTCTTCTGAGTTTGATCTGTCTATAAATGTTTGACTTCTGACCTCGTTTCGGAGTCCTTCAATGGCCGTTCTAATGGGTGCTGCCGATTCCAAAGTAGTGTCCTGTAATTCTCTAGTATTTCGCCTCAGTTCTTCTATGCTGGCTTGGACTGAGGAGATTAAAGAATCAGCAGGGCACTTTCTAAATTTTGCTATGTCTTCAGATATTTGAGTCATTTGACAGTGCAGGCTGGCGATATCCTCTTGGAGCTGCGTTTTCACCTCGTGAATGTGTTTCCGCAATTCCTGAGTCATCCCCTGAGCCTGCTCCTCTTGACCTTTCCCTTCTTCGGTGGAAACTGTAGGGAGTTCTGAGAATGGTATTCCACATTTTAAGGTCTTAATATCATTTATAGCGCTGCGTATCTCTTTTAACTCCTCATTGAGAGATGTGCTTATCAGATCTTCCGTTTTGGTGTGTCTTGGTGATTCCACACTCTCGCGGAGAAGTCTTAGTTCTTCTGACAATATCTTTATTTGGTTAGATATGCAGCTGGATGATGACATTTCATGTCTGACTGTAGTCAGCTCACTCTTAGTTTCAGTGATTGCTGTGCATAAGTCATATGACATGATCATTCTCATGGATTCAGCTTCCTTTTGCAATTTATCAATACACTCCTTTAAAAGAGCGTATTGTCCTAGCGTTTCGTGCATAAACCGTGCGTGTCATTGAGTAAGACGCTCGGATTCTTTTGAGACGTTTAGCTTCTGTTTATTGGCCTCGAGCATATGCAGCATTCTGGAGTCAGAGAGCTTTAAAATCATTTCATACAGAGTATACAATCCAGCTATTACACTTTCCCGTATTTCCCTTTTAAGATTACCAGATTTTTCTAGCTCTGATTTGGAACGCTGCAATATCTCATTCGCATGTCTTGGTAGTTCGTTAAGAAACATCCGATTGCCGCCTATAGAACGCGAAGAGGCATCAAAGGAAGTATTTGTTTCCCCAGTGTCGTTGTCGGACTCTATTTGGTCCTCCACCTCAGACATTCTCCTCGTGACCTCCTCAGCTTCAACTGCTTTAGCCTGTCGGATTTGGGTTTTGATACGCAGTAAACTTGAACCCGGTCTGGTCAGGAGAGGAGAAGAAGTTATAGCTTCCTCTAGGTTAGGCGATGGGGTGGCAGACTCTGGAGTAGAGGATAACTTACCTCTCTCCTCTATTTCAAGGGTAGGTAAGGGCTGGAAGTGTGGTTGATCTGATTCCGAACCAACGATTATACACTGGGCGTCAACTTTAGGCACATTGTGATCCGTTGACTCGACCAATTTTGTCTTTATACTATGTAAGGTTTTAGTAGGTTCTTTAGTGGTCGCATGTGACCCAATATGAGTTTTCTTCTTGTGCAATGTTTGTTTATCCGAGCAAATTGATCCCGATTTTTTAGATTTATCGGACATTGTTGCACTATAAGAGTGTTGAAGCAGAAGGCGCTTTGCTCTCTGTAACTCGGAATGGAGGTCCTACGAGGGTAGTCTTCTCAAAAATTTACTTTTTTTTTTTTTTTTCCTTTATAATATAAACCTTAAAATGTTGATATGTACAGTGAAAACCGCGTTCCGATTGGACCTTCCGTTCCCGAGTTACAGGCTTCCAAAGTTTTTCAAGATGGCGGATTAAGATGGCCAGTAAAAACTAATTTTTTAATTACTTTGGACCCAAAGCTCCTGGGATAGTCGAGTTTGGGCTTGTTCGGTTTGCCTTTGAGTGTTTTATCTGATTCCGCACCTGGTTGTGTGCCGGATTAGAAATGTCAGCTATCAACTCCTGGAGCCTTGTTAGGTCACTACAAGTTGTATAAAGAAAACCGCGCTCCGATTGGACTCTCCGTTCCGGAGTTACAGGCTTCCAAAGTTTTTCAAGATGGCGGATTAAGATGGCCACCAAAAACTAATCTTTTAATTACTTTTGACCCACAACTCCGGTGATAGTCGAGTTTGGGCTTATTCGGTTTGTCTTTGAGTGTTCTACCTGATTCCGCGCCTGGTTGTGTGCCTATTTCGAAATGTCAGCTGTCAACTCCTAAATCTTTGTGAAGCCACTACAAGGTGTATAAAGAAAACAGCAGCTTTCTACGATGATTCGTTTAGAAGATATGACAGTTTGAAAATTTTCAAGATGGCTGCCAAAATGGCGAAAAAAGGTAAAAAGCTTATTTCTCAGCAACGGGGCCACGTAAAAGGGTCGAGTTTGGGCTCTTTAGAAAGCTAATGACGAGACCCAACTAGAAAAAACACTGTTATTAATGAGAAAATTTTCAGTAAAGAGAAATCCTGAAAAAACGCTGAAATACGCATAAATTCCAAGCCAAAGGAGATAATTTTGAACTAAAAACGAAAAATTGATGCACGAGCTACACTCTAAATACTGGCATAGGAAATTTTTCTCCCAGTTACTTGGAAGAGGTAGCACGTGGAAGAGTGTTTTTACTAAAAAATCAATATCTCAATAATTCCAAAATAGAAAATTCTAAATTTTTGTATGTATGTTAAATAATAGTTTTCCTACAAAATTTAATAAGAAAATTGATATGTTCTCGCTAAAAAATTAAAAATATTTAGGTTTAAAATATTAAGAAATTTAAAAAATTGACATTTTCGTTAATAACTCCTTATAATGTACTCCGATTTTTACGCAACAAGTTTATAAATGTTAGTTTAAAAGTGCTGAAGCCGAAACAGTTTTCAAAAATAGCCGCACGATCTTAATTTAAGATTTAGTTGCCACGTGGTTTTTCAGTTTTTCGTTAATAACTCAAAAATTTATTGTCAGAAAAATCTAAAACATATGCCAAAATGTAGAGCCAGTTAAACAGCATGCAATGCAAAAATAAAAATTACAGGTTATCGATCTAAAAATCACGGCGTACGCAAAAAAGTGTAAAACTTAACCTCAAAATTTTACCTTTTCACGTTTTTTCTCCGAGATTTCCAGGTTTTTACACAAAATAACTGCACTATTAACTATAACTAATGCACTCACTAAAAGATTGCACGAAACTGCACCCAATAAAACTTGTTGCAAGAAAATCGGAGCACTTTAGCCTATTTTAACGATTTTTTGATTGCGGAGCGACAAGGAAACGATGCGTACGGACCGGGCGTCGACGGAATACTGGTTAGGTTAGGTTAGGTTAGGTTAGGTTAGGTTAGGTTAGGTTAGGTTAGGTTAGGTTAGGTTAGGTTAGGTTAGGTTAGGTTAGGTTAGGTTAGGTTAGGTTAGGTTAGGTTAGGTTAGGTTAGGTTAGGTTAGGTTAGGTTAGGTTAGGTTAGGTTAGGTTAGGTTAGGTTAGGTTAGGTTAGGTTAGGTTAGGTTAGGTTAGGTTAGGTTAGGTTAGGTTAGGTTCCCCCCCGAACGGGTTCCCGCCTTGTCGTGGCGGGGGGGCTTAGTAGCCGTGGCTTGGTCAACCACGGTGAACGAAGAGGAACCCCTTGGCTGGCCCGAGGTGTAGGGCCGGCCCGAGGTGGCCACTCCGAGTGGGCTTGGGAAGCCCACTTCGGATGTGTGTTGGTGGGCTGCGGTGACAGGGGAGTCCGCACCCTCTACCGCTGCAGCCGAGGTCGAGTCGCGGAGGAAGAGGAGTGTTGGTATGGCGATGCGCCACTCGCCCTATCCTCCGCGACTCAGACGGGGCCGCACCGTTGAATGATGCGGTGGTGGTGGGGCTGCGGGGGGAGAGGAGTGTCGGTATTGCGAGGCGCCGCTCTCCCTACCCTCCGCAGCCGAATCTTGGTTGGCGGCGGAGCCACAGACCAGATCCGCCGCTGGGGTCGGAAAGGCTGGTGCTTCTTAGTGCTAGTTTTTCCTGGCCCCATGGCCTTCGCGCATCGGACACGGGGGCGTCTGTTGCGCATATGAAATTGGAGGCCGAGGAGGAGGGCGCGCCATGTGTTCTGGTGCGCCTTACCGGAGAAGGAGATGGGGGAGGAGTGGTCCTCTCCCGAGGAGGGGCCGCCATGGGGTGGCCGGCGCAGGTGGGGCCGCGGAAGTGTGCGAAAGCGTTCCCGTGGCCCTGCCAATATGCGACGAGGGTGGAACACCATGGAGTTT